TATTATGATATTAATAATAATTACAGCCTTAGTCTTTAATAAGTATAGGTAGTATCTAAAAAAAATAGTTGTTTGTGATGTCAAGGTCGGCTTCATGGAGTAATATTTATAATTTAAGTAACAGTGAACTGATTAACCAATAATAATAATAATGATATAAAGACGTTAACAGATAAAGTATATGTAATAAGTTATAAAAGCATATTGACAATAAAATATTGAGTTTTAACAGGTAGCATACAACTACAGCGTATAATGTGTGTTGTTGTTAAACGAGAAGGTCGTACAGACATCCACGTTTAAATCTACGTTGAAGTGGATATACGTGGAGGTTATAGTGAAGTGATCCAGATAAGTTGAGCAGTGAGATATGGAAGTTTTTTGAAAAGGTTTTAATGTGKTTTGTTTATTGTGATTTATTCAAATCCAAAATCCAATAACTTCCATCGCTCACTGCTTAACTCATCTGGCTTAATTCACTATAACTTCCACATAAATCTACATCAACGTACATTTAAACGTGGACGTCTGCACGACCTTCTTTAACAACAACACACAATATGCCGCAGCTGTATGCTACCTATTAAAACTCWTAGAATTTTATTGTCAATATGCTTTTATTAATTGTTACATATGCTTTATCTGTTTACGTCTTTATATCATTATTATTATTGGTTAATCAGTTCACTGTTACTTAAACTATTAACATAGTTACGACAATTAGATTTAACAATCACTATTGTATATATGTAAATAGTTATATTCTATTTTACTAATTAAATTTMTTATCATAATTAATAGTCATGTTCAAATAGCTAAAAATGTACCATTGTAAATATCAATAGATGTAGTTATGTACATAATATTTTAGTCGAAATGTGTACATATATTACATAATAACTATTTTATTATTATTTTGTAATTGATTGAATCAAACTAATGTCGTAGACTAAGACTTTATGTTTAAGTAGCTATAAACATTAAAAYCGTATACTGTTATAACCACGARTACATAAAACTTTAAAAATATTTCACATCATATAGCCAATTTTGACATCACAAACAAGTGTTTTTTTTAGATACCACTTATACTTATCACAGGCTGCAATTAGTAATGATTATTATTAATACGATAATAATTCACATATTTGTACTAATCAGTGGAGTAACAGGATTAAGATAAGTAAATACCTATGCCTTATTATATTACACTCTACACTGCATAAAATCATTTTATAATTATTTATATATAAATATWTTTTTTTTTWAAATATATAGTTTATATAAGTATATAAATATAAGTATATGTGCGTTAAAAGAGGAAACACGAATTACCAAACTTTCGAAAAGAAGATAACCCTCTCTGATAGCACTTTCAATTTTATTTAATTATATATTTTTTATTTTTTGCTTTATTAATTTTTTCCATGCATTTTTTTTTAATGTAATAAATCTCTGCACTATTTACGTTACAATCAGCTTTGGGGAAGGGGGGGAGCTACCTTGGATTATGAGGAATAAAATCATATATCACTTTAATTTTTGAAAATTGACAAAGTGCGAAGCCAAGACTTCTATATTTTAATATTAACCGGGATAACACATGGAAACTTCGATTCAATAATTGTTGATATATGGGTATCATCATACATAATACGTAGGTATTTGAAACATCCTATTTTGTTTCATTCTAATAGTATCAAGAATATGTACCTATATATTGAGTAAATAAAAACGAAACAGCTAAAATATTTTAAATATTTTTTTTTTTTGTATAATTATTATACCTATTAAGCATTTAGAATTCATAAATGTAATTGACTATACTAAACACATTATAACAAAATATTTTTTGTGGTAAATTTTTTTTCCTGRTTAGAACCGACAGCAAAGGAGGATCTGTTTGCTCAATACTACTYCTCTGCTGCCATCGTTTATTGATGAATTGTGGTAAAATTGTTTTACTTAAGAATAACTTAATCATAGTATACAAACAAACAAATTTCAAAGCAAATAGTTATACAACATACACGTTACATATTAATACTAAAGATATTTACAAATTATGAAATATAAATATTTTAAGATATTATAGTAATTTTACAGTATGCATAATATTCRTATAATTCATATGATAAAATAAAACAAGTTTCAATGAAGAAAATTATTTAAAAAAACAAAACGAAAAATAATAATAATAACAACTGCAGGATCAATCAACTGAATTAGTGTTATTTGAGTTTTGTAAATTAAGAACATGTCAGTACGTATTATTAATTTATTTGAACAATAGTATATTATAGCATATTAATATGAGACCATAAAAATTAACAACCCTCGGTGAAAATACACGATAACATTATTACGAAAAGTAATAACACTCATCGTCCATCAAAATATCATATAAATAGCATATATAGTAACAATTAATAAATTGCGTGATGGCGAAACTATCATTAACATGTTGTCACGGACCTAAAACAATACAATTTCTCTTGTTAAA